AAAAAAAATAATGAAAAGAGTAAAACAACCCAAAAATAAATTTTAAGAACTAAAAAGAGATTTTATTAAATAGAAAGATTAAAAAAACTTTCCATTAAAATAGAGGAACAAAAAAAATGAGGTTTTAACTCATAAAAAATGAAAAATGTGGATATTAGTGCTTCATTAAAAAAATAAATAAATGTGGACTGAGAAACCTTGTATTCCGGTCGTTTGCGTGAAGTGTGGGATGAGCAAAGCAATTGAGACGGTTGTTCGTCCCTGTTAAATTTTATTAAAAAAAAGAAGTGAATCATTTCTTCTTTTCCTTAACACACTTTTGGATAAGATTGGAAAAAGTTGTTAAGAATACTAAAATATATATAAATTATAGAAAAGGAAAATATGATTTTCCAGAGTTGATTCAAAAGGTAAATTGAGATTCATACAACATTAAAAAAAAAAGGGCGGTAGTTTAAGTTGTTAAAGATTATATGGATATTTTTATTATCAAAATTATAAATATAAATTGTCCTTTTAAAAATTAAATTTTAAATTTTAAAATAAAGAAATACATTTTTATGATCATTTGAAAAGAAATTAATCATGAACTGCATAAAAATTAACTTAAAAATACCTCAATGATAAGTACCAAAAATAAGTATACTTTTGCTGGTACAATTTGAATAACAGAGAAAAATAAAATGATTGAAAGAATTTTTTTTTTTATAATCTTTTCATCCAATAAGTGACTCTTATTTATTTATTTTAATAAAAATAATAATGAAAGCATCAAAGAATTTTGAGTTAAAGGAGTAAAAAGAACTCCGTTCAACCACACATGATCTTGATGCATTATGTAATGTGGGGTTGTTCATAGAACAACTAAACCGCGAAATCAAATTAAACAATTCCATCCAATTCGTTGATGGTAACAAAAGACAAAAGGGTATTGGTCGAATCCGGTCAAAGGTCTCTCATAGTAACTTGAATTTTGAAGTTATAGTTCCCTCCTGTTTCAGGTTTCAGCTGACAGCTGCTGCTGCGGGTACAGATTCAACAGCGACCACATCATAACAGCGGCTGCAAAGTGTGGGGTGCTCTGCAAAGGAACCAACTTTGGGTGAGTAGTTCCAACATCTCTCACATTTTGAGCCGTCGGCTCGGGAGACACCAATCCAGAATTTGTATTTCCCCTCAACAAGATACTCTCCCTTATATGGAATGTTTTTGACAAATTCATCCTCCAAAGACTGGAGTACCTCTGCCTGTACATTATTGCCATTCAAACAAACAAATATCAGACTTCTGTATGTTTCAAGTGACTCCTGATTGATAGATGACATAAATAGCATGAACTGTCTCAAGTACACATTAACTAAAACTGGACAATCAAGCAGAGCAATGTACATTGAGGATTATCAAATATATGATCCTGATAAGATTTCAGGTCTTGGATTATTTGAAGAGCCAGGTAAAGCTGAAAACCAAAAAGGTGGCTTCTTGAACTTATAGATACGGGGAAATTCAACATACCTGAGATGTTATGAATATGCGGTGCAATTTGTCTTCTTCGTTCTTTGCTGCATTCCTTTCAAGTAATTTAGAAGACAGTTCGGCATCAGGTGTATATAAATAAACCTTAGCATCTAGACTGGAACCAATCAACTTTATGGTGCGAGCAGCCTCCAAAACCTTATTTACCTCATTTCTAAGCTGGTATCATCAAGAAAAATATAACACTTAGACAGTGACCATGAAATTAACTTAAAACTGGTGCTTTTACAAACAAGTAAAATAGATAATAACAGTATCAATCAGCTTCATTTCAGAGGTAATAGACATATTAATTGAGTTAAATATCACCAGAAAATGATGTCAAAATATATGAATCAGCAAAAGGAAATGCACAAACAATCCCTGAATACTGAACTTAAAGTTGAGTAATCTAAGAAGAACATTCATATAACATTTTTTGTCAATGAGGAGCAGAATTATGATTTAAGAAGAGAAAAGGCAGAATTTTGGAGAGATTTTAAAAAGCCACCTTTAGGTGTGGTATTTTAAAATGACTAGTTTTTGTATTACAACTAGTGTTTTAAACCTGGCCCAGCCCGGGTGATTGAACCAGTTCATTAAAATAACTATTTTTTGTATTACAACCAACACACTTTGACAAGGTCATCTAAAAAAGGAATTTAAAATTCCTTTCTTCAAATGAAATATGTCCTTAAAATCCTTCATCCAAACACAACTTAAGGATTCACACTGTATCACAATGTTACAACAGTACTCAGATGAGCAGTCAAAGGACATAACCTTTTAAAATCCTAGATTCAAAAACAGAAAATCTTGCACAAAGCATCAAAAAGTATACATCTTCTCTCTAATTATTGGATAAGTTGTTTAAAAAAAGAACAAGGTATTGATTTATTAATAAGTGACCAGTTGCACTAAAGAGTACTTTTAAGACAAAATCCAGTGCAATATAACTTAGTTGTAATCTCCATAAGTTAGCTATTATATAGTCATTACCTCCCGAATTTTTCCCCAGAGATCAATTTCTTCAGTAGGAAATGAAAGCCATTTCTCATTCAAGGCTGGCCATTTTGACTCGAAAACAAATTCAGCAATGGAACCATCTTCCATAGTATACTGAAAAGGAAGATTCTGCCACACATCCTCTGCCAAATGAGGCAGTATTGGAGCAATTACCCTCACAATGGAAAGAAGATGCGCAGCAAGGACCGTTTGACAACTTCTCCTTGTAAAATTAGCCGTGCCCCTGAACAGCAAACATTATCAACTTAGTACGCAAGGAAAGGGAAAGCCTTGAGTTTCAGTACCATTAAACATTTCAGTGCAGCCAGCATTAAAACAGGTAGAAATTCCATCCTCATGACAAGTTTCCATGAATTACTTTAATTTAAGCCAAGCAATTACAAGGGAGAGCCCCTTCCAAACTCGTGGTTTGACTATAATATTGCCAAAGTGTGTGTATTGAAGTGTGGTTAACAAGTGGTTTAATATTTATGAACTCCTTATAGAAAATTACACCAGTAGAACTTGTCTGTCACTTATATTAATAGGGTTTCCTTAGTTATGTCCTAGAAATCGGGGGCAAAAAACACAGTCTACATCAAGAAATTGAAAACCAGAGATTAATTTCAGGAAAGGTGAAAAAGTTGTTTGTTACATCCAAAGCAAAAATGGAATTATGAACATGGTAGAAGATCACAAGATAATAATTATATGAGAAATTATATTCAATAATTGCAGCATATCTAATGGCACGAGTGTTCAAGTATCTTGGACAGGAACTTGAAGAATAAAAGCAACTGCATATTGAAGGGGAGTGTATGGAAAGACCAAAATGAAAAAACTAAAGTGGAAATTAAAATGCATATTATACAACAATGGGAACAGAATTACCCCACGTATAGACGATCCTTGGCAATATCAAAATAGAAATTGGATAGATCAACAATGACAAAGCGCTGAATGATCTGAAACAGGAAAAATTCTATAAACAAGGGCAACATTATGAAAATTAAACCATGTTCAGATAAGTTAAAGTAGATATTAAGAAAAATGCTAACAGAAGTACAACAATTCTGGCCATAGCATTCAGAAAACAAGGGAGAAGAATATTGTTTCACAACCAATGAGAAGTTCAAGGGCATGACCATATAAAGAAAACAAAATAAAGAAGAGACAAAGCTCTCAGTTAAATTCATTTATACTTATATCACTTCCATGGACCCTATATCAGACAGTAAACAGAAGAGATTCATTTACTAACAATGTTAAATAATGATTATTTTCAGATTTTAGGGAATATTTAAATTGCCATCTTCTGTTGCCATTGTAATCAGGATAACATTGTGGCACATTCTGAAATCATGAGACCAGTTGAAGAAATACCTGGTATATTTTGAAAAAGTGATAGTTTTCATAACTCTCTCTGATATCCTTTACAACATTTTCAAGTTGAAATAGTGCATGCTGGTCAATCATGGGAAGATTGTGATATGAGACAGCATTTTCAGCCTGCCAACAGCAGAATTAATAAATAAAAATAATGCATTTTAAGTGTCAAATGTAAATAACATATTGACAGTGAACACAATCAAGAAAAAGTTCTAGAAAACAGCAAAATGCAATACAAGTTTATTAGAATTTTTATTTGTGTGTGCATACATGCATTTTGACTTTTGTGGGGAACAGTGGGTTGGAGTGGGGTTGAAGACATGAGGATGATATAGGTAATTTAAAAGAAAAAAGGCATGCATAAAGACAAGCTCCATTTTTTAAATGGCAGAGAACTTAGAAAAATCAATATTAAGGATATATTAAGCATACTTTCCAGTCATGAAGATTCCCCAAGAGGTATCTCAATGTCCCTCTTAGCTTACGGTACATGTCAGCCATTTGACGGAGTATTTGGGGGCCAATGAGCACATCAGTTGTATAGTCTACACTGGATACCCAGAGCCGCAGGACATCAGCTCCATAGCCTGGTGCTTCCTAAGAACATAAGACAAACCTCAGGAGTTAGCAGTGTGCCTGTATGTATGAGAGAGAGAGAGATTCAACAATTGCTTACTTTTGGATCTTCCCCTCCCTCAATTACAGAACGAGGATCTACAACATTTCCCAAAGATTTGCTCATCTTATAACCTCTCTCATCCAATACAAATCCATGTGTAATAACACTGGAATATGGTGCCTGTCCTGCAAAGAGCAGAAGCAAAAATCGTCCTAATTTATTCATCATTCTCCACTAAATCTCCAACTTAGGAACCTACAATAGCTTAAAGGAACATAAACTTGAATACAAATAGGAAGGTATACTTGCATGCTAGACAAAAAGGGAAATCTTGAATTGATATTGATCATTATAGAATTACTCAGCCACTAATAAATGCAGTTTATACTGCAACTGCATTCTATGAGAACAACCGTAATCCAGGAAAAATATTTAAATTCCTAAGCCTCAAATGCAATTAAACAAGTCACTCTGTCCCCTAATGATTATTGTTTTCAGTAATTTAATACTATATGGGGAAAAAAAAAAGAATAAATGCTTGCTAATTAAATTTTAATTTTTAGATGGTAGTTTTCTACTGCCTTAACTTGAAAAACTGAAGAAATACAAATCAAACAAATATGGATATGATCATTCTGAAAAAAAGCGAATCCAGAATTCCAGGTAGAGATATAAGAATGGAAAAATCTCAGGAGGCAGGCAATCAACATGATCATGATGAGAGAGATGCTAGTATGATGAAGTTCATCTTCCTAGTAAATTCATAATTCTTAACCTTTTAGTTTGTTTATAAAAGAATGCTCATTTAGCCTTATAGCTGAAGAAAAATGGTGCTTTGGATAAAAGAATCAAAGCTAAATAGATGATATGTCCAGAGAGCACAAGATCCTTCTTCTCGAGAATAAGATGCTACTACATTGACCAAGCAATATGTGTAAGACATTAAATCAATAAGAAAAAACAGTGGTAATAAGTTGTTAGAAAAACAATAGCAGAAGTAAAAATGTAAAACAGAAGGATGAAGCATACAGCATACACTTTTTACTTAATACAATTGAAATTCCATTTTTATAACACTCATTACCTTTTACAGCAATACTAGTTAACAAGGAACTCTGGAACCAGCCACGATGCTGATCTGAACCCTCAAGATATATATCTGCAGGAAAAGTAAGCCTGTCTCTTTTTCCCAGGACAGCAGCCCAAGATGAGCCTGTAGTACAGAAGCAACTAACAACAATCAATATATTACTAGAGAAATATTTTGCATGTAAATTTACCAGCCAAACAAAAAAATTCAAAGCCAAAAGCACCTATAGATATCCATGAAAAATAACTGGATAACTTTTTTTGGGTACATAATTGGATGACTTTAATATCTTCAGATATTGACCAAAGTCTGAAACTGAAACATAAATAATATATTATAGAAAACTTTACATGATACAGTACAATTTTAGCTTGATGAGAATTAGAATGGTCGAGTCATTTTTTTAAAAGAAACTAATACAAGGATAAGTATGGTTTGGTTATTCCATTTATTTCATTCATTGAAACACTCCTATTGGCAACAGGCTTTGAGCATACTGGTTCCAAAGTCCAAGCTCAAAATAAAATAAGTTATTACATAATTATTATTTAGGCAAAACTTGCTTCTAATTTCCTAAATCCATCTTTTTTTTATTCTTTGGCCAATTCCTAAATCTATCTTGATTAACACATGATCACAATCACTGCAATGAAAACCTTGATGTCACAAAACCAAGACAAAATAGCTATTAATATACAAACCAAGCCAACAGAATACAACATACTTCTCCTAAGAGCCCAATCGTGTGAAAACAAACCAATAATATACAAACCTGAGTCAAACCAGACATCCATTGTATCAGTCCCCTTTTCATACTCTGAGGCCGTATCACGATACTTCTCAGGCAGTAGTTCCTCCTCTGTCATGTACCACCATGCATCGCTACCTTTCTGGGCTATAATAGCTGCCAAAAAAGAATATTCAGAGTTCAATGTTAGCCAAAACACTAGACAAAAGAAAATGTAACATCTATAATACACAATTACAGAAAGAGACTACTAAGAAAGAATGTACCTTGAAGGCTTGAAGACATAATAGTATGAAAAGAAACTAAATTTGCATAATATCAAAATGAGGTACATTACAATTTTAACCCATTTGCCTCAATTTAGTAGTGAACCTTACTACCATTCATTAGGAACTAGGTCACTACTCCCTACATTAAAATTCAGCACTAGCTTTTGACAGAACATCCAAGTGAGTCCACATAGCCAATGGTGCTCAATTTTTTAAGAGGCCTAAGATTGAACTTTACAATTGCCCCCCAAACAGTGAATTTTCACAGGACCCAGCTGCACCCTGAAGGTTGGGAACTAACATTAACTTGGAGGTCATAGACTGAAGATGCAATAGAGATAAAATGAAGATGTGCCCCTTAGTTTGAAACAAATCAAGAAAGAATAGATATCGATAAAGAAAGAGATTTAAATGGGTACTTACACTTGACATGATCTACAGTCTCTTTATTCACAAGAGGTTCCTTTGATTGGACATGATAAAAGACAGGAATTGGGACTCCCCATGTTCTTTGCCTTGATATGCACCAGTCAGAGCGACCTGTGGTCATAGCAGAAATTCTGTTTTCTGCCTGAATAATAGCCACCCAAAAAGAGAGTTAAATGGGATACCAACTGGGAATGGAAACACAACATTTCTTAAAAGACCAATTTAAATGTTCAAGTACAAAAAAGTCCAAACATGTAATAACTACAATTAAAATAACAAGATTAATCCTTCTATACCCTTAATTCGAAATTCACATGATAATAACATCAACGATAACATTTTAGATGAACTGCCAAAACTTCAAAAAAATAAATGAACTATAAGAAAATAAATTCACATAATAATAACATCTACAATTGCAATGCCAAAAGATTCACAGCTAGAAATTTTTTTTCGTTACACAAGGCTAGAATTGTCCAAGACAATAAAAAACTTGTACCTGAGGAGGAATCCATTTTACATGGCCAATTGCATCCACAGCGGCCTGGCGGAGGCCTTCAACTGATGCAAACCATTGTTCAGTTGCCCTAAAAATCGTAGGCTTCTTTGTTCGCCAATCATACGGATACTTGTGCGCTGCATAAGAGAATATGGAGAAGAGTGTGAGGAGTAGACGTGGCTTCCAATATTCTATAACATTTCTTCATAACATCAGAAGAGAAGAAAGATGGACCATTTCTTCACAAAGTTAAAGAAAAACCTACCATAGGGTTCCTCCTTAATAAGAACCGCTTTTTCATCCAAGTATTTCATGACAGCATTATTTCCATCCCCAAGTACATCAAGCCCACTAAACTGCCCAGCTTCTTCTGTAAATTTTCCATCATCATCTACAGGAGACCGTAAGGGCAATCCATACTTTAGGCCAGTTAGATAGTCCTCCTGACCATGACCAGGAGCTGTATGCACCAGTCCAGTTCCTCTTTCTGTTGTTATGTAGTCTCCTCCAATGACAACTGGGCATTCCCTGTTATCAATTGGATGAATGTACCTAAAACCATAAATAAGAACTATATTTCAACAAATAGGCAATGTTCCCAATTCATCAAAGAGTCCTTGTTAACAAATAATTGTTCAAAGTTTCCAAAACAAAATGTGTAATAAACTAAATGACACAATAAAGCTTCATGATAAATCAATTGGTATATAAATGCTTTATTCAATTCATAACCTGCAATTTTCAAGATCAGAACCCGATAGCTTTTTCTTGATGACAAGCTTAACCCCCCATACTTGTTCTAAATCAGGAGCAAGGTCAGTTGCTAGTGTAAGGAAAAGATTCTCTGGTTTCTCCAAAACAGCTCTCCACTTGGTACGTGCATAACCAACATCATACTCAGGTTTCACTTGAAATACACCATACTCAAGCTTGGCATTCACTGCAACAGCTGTGAGAGAGAGAGATGTCAATCTTTTTTTTCTTTTTTTTCTTTTTCTTTTTTTTGTTATTATTAGAAGGGTTGACTAATAAACGAGCCATGCTTCTACACCAATATGATTGACTCATTTAGATTTATAAATATTTAAGACTCATTTACTTCGTTGTGCTACTCATTTATGCCTCCACATTGAAGGTTCATACAAGGCTTGGTTAAGTACTTATCACACCACTCTATGCATTCATTACATAACCTTTTAATGGTTATCCTATGCTCTAATTAGTAATCTGTCAAATAAAAAAATAAACCACAATGCCTACATGTGATGATACAGCACATTCAAAAATAACTTAAAAGAAAAAAGGATGAAGAGTTACCGGCATTGGCTGGAATTGTCCAGGGAGTTGTTGTCCACACTGGCAAGAATAAATTTGGAACGAACTCTTCCAATAAATCATGTGTTCCTTGAGCTGCACTGACTAGTTTGAAAACAGCATATATGCTTTTTGAAACATGACCTTCAGGATACTGCAATAGGAAATAGATATAAGACACAAAAAAAGTAGGACACAAGACACTCCTGGAAGATCATGTAATGTAAGAGAATAACCTGAAACATAGATCTGACAAGGCCTCAATTGAAGTCACACATTATTTGCAAACAATAATAATACAATCATTTAATATGTTTGAGAAAACCTAAAGGAAAGCAAAAACTGTATAGCATAAGTGTTGTGAATCTGAACTATAAAGTCATAATAATGGTTTTATTTATTTTTGCATGTGTGTGAGCACTGCAAAGAAAGCTGGGTAGAAAGGAAGAATACTGGTAAACATGATTACCTCTAATTCGGCCTCTGCAAGTGCAGTACGTGTTGAAGGACTCCAATGAACTGGTTTTCTGCCCCTGTAAATATATCCTTGAAGCAACATCTGGGCAAACACTTCAACCTAGAAGATTGACATGCAAGAGATAGTTTCTTAGAGAAGGAACCACAGTAAACACCACTGTAGAAGAGTTAGAGAGATGTCACAAGCACCTAAAAGTTTATTTCCTAGCATGTTATTGGACTAAAGTATGGATGCATCATTCTTCTGATGTTTGGTAGAAGAAAGGCAATAAGGAGGAGCTCAGAGGAGAAGAAGAAAGAAGCAGTTTTCTATTCTCCTCTCTAGTTCAAACTAAATTCCTAAAATCTATGGAAGCAAAAGTTGCCACCAAGTCCTTTTACCACCATTAGTACAAAGAACTGAGAATCTCTAGGGTTATAGTTACCATTTTAACATTAAGCACCCACAAAAGCCAAATGAAGAAAGGTTGTACCAGATACCTGTGCAGCTTCATATTCTGGATCTAGTGATAGATAAGGATTATTCCAATCGGCCCAAACTCCATAGCGCTGCAAATATAATAAAATTTTAGTATGAAAGAGCAAAGGCTTCATATTGTGCCAATATTATTTATCACCAAGTTAAAGTTAACATATTATCTAGATCAACTCCAAAAGGCTTACATCTTAATAGCTAATCTGATGGTAGTATAAGAGAAGGAATGCAAATAATAATCTAAGAGTAGATAGACTAGTTCAATACCTTAAATGATGACATCTGAGTTTTGACAGTTGCTTTGGCAAATTTAGCAGCCTTTGCTCTTAATTTTGAGGGTGTTAGATCCTTTCTGGCATCTAGATCCAATGACTGCAGAACTGTTACATCATCAAATTGCTCAAAGTTTCAAGTTTCAAGTTTCAACTATGAAGTGGTATTTGATTTTCTTACAATTACACAAAGAACAATTAATGAATGATGAGAATTCCCTCATTAGGATCAAGTCAAAACAACTAAGAAACACCCTTGTGATTAATATGAATATTAAGAAAAGATGCGCTATCTGTTATTGTCAGATATAGCTTCATAATCAGTGGCATTTCCAAATTGTAAAGAGATTCTTTTTCAATGTTGCATACGACAACAATCTTAAGGGCAACTATAAATCTCCAAATTGGGAATAAATTATCTTGACATGTTATAATGAGAAAACCTATGGAACCAGCAATCTGATTGATACTTGCCTTTCAACTCAATTGGCAGGCCATGGCAATCCCAACCTGGCACATAATGAACTTTATAATTTTGAAGAAGCTGTCAAAAGAAAAAAAAAAAAAGAAGAAGAAGAGAAAAGAAAAGAAAAGGGAAAAAAATGCATTAACGAAAAGTCATGAAGGAAAGAAGAATTTGAAAAGGAAAATAATATACATATTACCAAATTATTTTTTTAACATTATTAAATTTACAAGCAGAATTTTCTTTCATTTTAATCATTCCAATGGCAAGAATGTTAAAATGAACCTGAATGCAAGACTAACAAATTAAGCTCTCCCAAGGTAAAGAAGTAAGCATACCTTGTAACGGTTAATTATATCCTTTAAAATCTTATTAAGAGCATGACCCATGTGTAGGTCTCCATTGGCATATGGAGGACCATCATGAAGCACAAAATTTCCCTGACCCAGTAACTAACGGTCAGCCAATAAGTCTGTATAGATAAAGCAAGAGGATAAAGATAGCTAAAAACTCACCCCATTATTTTTATCTACAACTCTCTTAAATACTTGATGATCCTCCCATAATTTCTGAATTTGAGGCTCCCTCACTAGAGAATTAGCCCTCATGCCAAATGTTGTCTTTGGCAAATCAACAGTGTTCTTGTACTTACCATCACCTTGTTTTTCCCCTGAACAATCGTAATCAAAGCAGAAAATAAATAGTATTTCCAGAAGAAAAAAATGGAATTTCAGGGGAATCTTTTCACAAGCAGGGAGAAGAAAGTAACAAAAACAACAAAAAATTTCCTCTTCACAATGGGATATCATGTTCACACATGCCAAAAATTACGGTAAGCTGCAGACGTTTGGAGATTAAAAAAAAAAAAAAAAAAAAAAAAAAAAAAACTAGCCTTGAGTTGCCTTTTTTGCTGCCATAACAGGTCCCCGAGATCTTCGTTTTGAAGAAGGACAAAATTCTCCAGAGGAATCAGTTGAATAATGTGAGATGTCTAAGAAAGACAAAACTTTATAAGAGTCTCCTCTAGAACAAAGCAAGTTTACAGAATTTTTCCTAAGGGATGAGCAAGTTCTCTGCGACAGTACCTGTAAATATAAAACATAATATTATCAATCCAAATTCTTAAGATTCTATAAACTTCATTTTACCATAGGAAGTTTCAATCAAACTTTGAATTTCATTCAATTGAACACTCATAGCCATTTTCATGCAATTATCTTTCCTAAATTGATCCACAAAAAGCTTATCATCACCACAGGTCCACAACTTCTCAAGTAAAGTAATCAAGATTCAAGAATGTCATCACCTTAAATCAATGTAGCTTCAAAATCCCAGACTTACTTGTCTCCTACCATAATGAGCCTAGCGGGATTTGTGTTGGTACCGATTACTTATCTCAACACTAATGATCTATAACCAAAAACAAAAAAAAAAAAAAAAAAAAAAAAAAAAAAAAAAAAAAAAGACAATTAGGTTTTGATTCATCGAACGGAA